TCTCTCAGCCACCTCTGGATCAATTGGAAAGTGTTTGCAATAACGCCACATCTCAATCTAATTCGTTACAGAATGCGTGCACATCACCCGCTGTTGAAAGCAATAATAATTCACCGCCCGTGAGTTTGCAGCAGCAATCTCTGAAACAGAGATTTAATACAATCGTTATGAGAACTCTGGCGGATAACACAGAACGAGATCGCAGTCTGCAAGCCGCCCAGATGGGCGACGCGTGGAAATTGAAGGTATTACAGCAGACCAAAGTGATAGCGACTTTGCGAGAAAGTCTTCAAGTTACAGAAGATATAATAAATCCTCGAAAGCCTCCGTCTGACGGCAAGGTGGTCGTTTCTTTCGATTGCGAGGGTATAAATCTTGGTGTTAGAGGACAGCTGACTCTTGTACAAATCGGTACAATGAGCGGTCAAGCGTATGTGTTCGATTTGGTCACGTGCCCAGGCCTCGTTCAAGCTGGTGGTCTCCAGAAACTACTGGAACATCCTCATGTTACTAAGGTAAAAATATATAACAATAGACAATATAATAATTAGACAATATATAACAATATATAAAAATACATATAGATATTAATTCAACAAAAATAGGTAACTGCTTCAAACATGTAAACTTGTATTCATTTTTGCAGGTGATTCATGATTGTAGAAATGACAGTGTCAATCTATATAATCAATTTAATATTACGTTAACGAATGTTTTTGACACACAGGTACTTAATGTTCTTTGTATTTTTTTATATAGAAATAACGTATCATAAATGTAATATGAAATGACAATATCTTTTATAGGCTGCGCATGCAGTGCTTCAGTTTCAAGATACGGGAAAGCCTGTGTACAAAGTTAAAAATGTTAATTTAAACACTTTGTGCGATCATTATAATGCTCCGTGTAATCCGCTAAAGGAACAATTGAAAAATATTTATCGTAAGGATCAACGTTATTGGTCTCGGCGACCCATTACTCGCGAGATGCTAATTTATGCGAGTAGCGATGTTTTAAGTCTCGTACCTCAAGTTTATAATGCTATGTCTAGGTGTGTCATCTTATTCGTAATTTTCGTAAATAAATTCTTCTCATGAATATTAGATTAATACAAATAATTTTGTTTGTTATTAACAGACTTATAAAGCCGGAACAAGAAAGTCTTTTTGCAGAGCTTTGCGAAGAACAGATTCAAATGCACATAAGACCGGCGATTGTAAAAGCGCGTAAAAAGCAACGAAAGATCGCGACCGAATTATCAGATTTGAAAAAGAGAATGGAAGAAGCGACGAGTAAAAATATCGTTCTGAGTAACCGTGAAATTCGGCTTCTTCGTTATTTGGATCTTACCGAAGACGAAAAGGAAAAGCTCAAAGGAAGTTATAAAGTTGCTAGAAAATTGGAAAAGCTAGAGAACATGGGTCAGGATAAAGCTGATAGCAGTGATGACGACGACGACGATAAAACGGATGATCATGAATATCAAAGCTTGGAAAGCTACACATCGGAAAATTCTCATTCTGGTAAAATATCACATTTTAAGTTAAAATACAAAATCACTACTTAAAATTGTAAAGAAAAAAAAAATATATATATTAATACATTTTAAAATATAATTTTAAAAATCATGAAAATATGGATTTTTGGCAATTTTTGATAAGCATAGTTTGAAGATCTAAAAATTAATTTTTAGGTGGCATATTGTCGCCACGGAACGCCGATACTCCAAGTCTAACGGAGTCAATGCAAATGATGGATGAAATACTCTCGGACGGTCGGATGGATAAACTGGAGAAGATTGAGAAACTGGAAGCCATACTGTCAGCTGTTACAAGCTCCGCGACTGACCAACTTTCCATCAACAATGCGGATTCATCACCTATCAAATGCGTCTGTACGTGTCAAGAGGATAAGACCGACAGTACGCGAATGGATCGTCAAACTGCTGGAACTAGTGTGGCTTGCCAAACGCTTAGCACAGGTGATATAGTATTTACTAGAGTGTTTGTCAGCGAAGAGGAAAAAGAGCGAGTAAGATTATTGAATTCGCCAAAAAAGTAGATATTTACAGCTGCTGTGAAAGTAGTAGAAAAGTTGCCATTTATAGGTTTTTTTATAAAAACGGAACAATTGCATAAAAGAATTAAGTAGTTGAAATTTATCTATTTTATGTAATATATATGACAAGATTCATAGAGCAGAACTGGCGAAACTCGAGTTTTCTGACATGTCTGCTACTTTAAAAAAAATGTGTCTTAAATGGATAGGCCTTGTTATACATACCTTTCCAGATTTGATGATACAATCATCAGATTTTTGGAAAAGGATTATTAATTTTAATATGAAGATTATCTTTCTTTTACGAACGTTTAAGAAAGACCGAATCGTTTTAGTTACAAAAGTAGTATCAAGTTATAAGCGCTAATAAGGTTTTACCAGCAAATTTTATGATTTTTAATATACAACTTGTGGCTTTTTATGTTTGCTCGGGATTAAGATGCTAACAAATTTTTTTTAATATTGTCTCTTTAGATAAAACATATACATATATGTACAAATATCAACAGAAGAATCATGTTTATAGGGTAACGATTACTGATGCTCTTTTAATAGTGTTGCGAAATTAATAGAATGCATATTTCATGCTTGCGAAACATTTTTATGTGAAGTACTGCATTAAAATCGCTAATTTTTAAATTCTGTGGCCTAATTTGTGTCACTCAGAAGGGACGAATTGTCGGCAGTAATAGAACATAACAGCAACTATTAAACAAATACTTTTTCTTCACAGGAAAACATTTAAGCTTACGCACGCGAAATAAACTTATGCAGACTTCTTCCTTACATCGATTACAGATACAACTTATTTTCGTATATAGCTATACAAGTGCCAATTTAATATAGAACATATACAATAAATGGATTGATACATTTTATATTTCTATTTAATTACGTGCTTAATGAATAATTATTCCCGCACTTCCAGTAAATAGTTAATAATCTGATAGTATTAAATAAGATAAACCCATTATTCGTGTCACATAGATCTGCATTTATACTCTAATAACATATCATTAATAAGTAAACTGCCAGAGAATGTGGGGAAGTGACGATTTCGAGAGATTTAAATAAATTATTGTCATCGTAAATTGTCAGTGTTTTTAGTGCAATACTTTACACATGGACAGATAATATACATTTAATATCGATCATGTAATTCTTTTTTAATATTAAAAATACTACAAACATATAGTAACCGAAAGATAAATTATGTAAGCGAATCATTGATACATTCTCATTTATTATTAATCGAGAGGCTCAACTAGTATCAAATTGTTCGACTATTTCGTATATACTATTCATAAAGTATGCTAGAAGCTACTATAGTATATATACCTACATTTTTTTTGATCTAATCAAAACGCCGACTACTAGCAATATTTTTTATAAAAATTCTTGAGAATGTGAGACAAGTACATCGGATGTTGTCTAGTATTTTAATGTAGATGTTTGATTATTATATTTCGTTATATTGGAAAGCAAAATAATAATACTAGAGGCATCCTTATTGGAGAATGCGTAACTGTGTTGTTACTAGAAAGTGCAAGTTTAATTCATCGCAGAAATAATTTTGATATTATGAATTATTGTTCTGACAGTTATTTGCGTGCGTTTATATCAGAATAATTTTGCACGCGTTATAACTAATATGAATAATATCTTCGATATACAGAAATTTTATTTGTGAAATACTCGCCTTTTATATACACATAAATTATATTTAGGACGAAAATTCGACGAGAATATAAATCTCTTATAAGAATGTATAAAATAATTATGCATCCTTAGGCTTGGGTTCAATTTTATTTATGTCGTGGTCTCTTAGATCTTTTTTCAATTTTCTAGTATATATTATTTTATAAATATATAATATTAATTATATATTTATAAATTTTACACGTACACAAATTTCTCTGTATATTGATAATCATTCATATTTTTATCCCTTGCACTCATATATTTATTTTCGGATAATTACCTGTGGGATTATTAAGAATTTTAACAAAAAATTAATTCTTATTAACTTAAATTATTAATGCGTTGTTAATTGTAGATTCAATAAATATAAAAGAGAAAAATTATACATGTATTTTTACTTTTAGAAAATCAATGACAAAATTTAATCCAGTTTATAAATGAAATGAGTGCTGAGGATTAACAGAAGAATTGTACAATATTATTGTTCAATATTGCTTGATGATGATATAGTTTGCAGATTTATTGATTGGATTTTTGATATTTAATTCATCCTGATTTTCAGAAAAGAAAATGTCTTAATGCCATTCTTTTTATTTATTAATATGCATTTTCTTTTCTAATTATTTGGGTGATATTCAATTTTTATTAGCGATATTTTAAGAATGGACTAAAATGATATTATCTGAATTATTTTATAAGGCATTTATATCAATCGAATAGTAATTATACTAAAAAACAAGAAACATTACACAAAAATAATTATACGAAAGAATGCTGATCCATATAATTATTAACAATGACTAATTCGTTGCATACAGATGCGAAGTAAAGTCTAAAAGAATATACAATTACATAAATAATATACGTAATAAAGAATATTACAGAAAAAATTAAATTTGTTCATTTATTTATCTATCCAGCCATTTCTAGCTATTTAATTAAATAGATACTTCTATATTACATCTATTTGCATATATGAAATATTCGAAAAAAAAAAAGAGTACATAACTAAAAATATTTTTTTTTAATTACTGAAAATTAATATCTATAGAAAACGCATTTTACAAATATAAATAATATATAAATGAAAGTATTATATTTATGATAAATTACATATTTATGATAAATTTTACAATTTTCTACACATATAAATAAAAGTACATGAATACAAACATAATTTGCATGAATGTTCATAGTCTTTATTTACAAGATGTAATACGATTATCTATAAATTATTTACCTTTATTTTCACCAGTTAATTAAACAACAAATTATTTTTCTGAAATCATAATATGTTAACGTAAATGTATCAAAATGTTTATACTTATAGACATATTTCTAACACAAATACTACATCCATGCCATGCATTATCAAAATTATTGAAGAGGGATTAAAATTCGTTTTGGTATAGTAAGCCTTAAAAAAGGAGTAATATATGTCTGTATCGAAGTGCCTTTCAAGAAATATCTATTTGCATAGGTTGTATAATCTTCTAAACATAATTTAGCTTCCAGCGAACTTATATTTTCATGTGATAATAAATTTATAACACCTGGAGGTATTCCACATCTCGAAAACATGTCATAATATGATGATGGATTACAGAAGTTTGCATCAAACATTACAATGACAGAGTTGCCAGTAATTAAAGATTGCATCAATCGAAAAAACAAAATGTTTTCATTTTCCTCTCTAAGTATGATAACACCTAAAAATGGCTTACGAATATACAATATTTCTATCATTTCATTTTCAATGTGTCCTTGTATATTCCCATAGAAATATGGGAATTTTATCCATCTTTCTACTATAGCTGCTAATATAAATTTGCTAAAAATGAAAAACAAAGAAATAATTACTAAAAAGTTATCGAGAATAAATGTATACGAATGTATACGAATGTATATGTATATGTATGTATATGTATATATATATATATATATATATAATATATATATATATATATATATATAAAATATATAGATATATATAATACTGTTTTCGATAACTTCATATACCCAGTAAATTTCAGTATGGACATAAATCTAGATAACATTTGTATTCTAGTCTCAATAGACATAATACTCCAAGTTTTGTATCCTTTCCAAGCAGATTGATAACATTTTTTTATATCGGTGCTGTAATAACCATATATATATAAAACCATTAATTGATTAAAAGTTTAATATGTTTTCTCAATTTTTTTAAATTTAAGTAAAAATAATATGTTCAGTTAATCTAATAAAATTTAAAGATTAAGAAAACGTGTGCATTCTTACTCTGTTGCATTTGCCCATAGACTGTCATTATGTTTCCAATACATACCCTTTATGGGTTTTTGCCACGCACCATCATAAAAAAGATTACCAACAGAAATATCGTTTATTTTTACAACAGATGATAAATGTACTAAATTCATACTGGATTCTTGATTTTGATTAATTGATTCATTTTGGTAAGTAATTTTCGGTATCACAAGTTTAGCATTAGCTCGATAATACTCAGATAGATGTTTATACATCCAAAGTTGTATACAACCACGGAAATCCATATATGTATTTATAAATATTAAGTCACTCTAAATAATTATGAAATAGAAAAAGAATTTTAATGAAATTTAAAATAATTCTCGGCAACATACTATTTTTAAACATTTTAAATAATATACATTTATAGATAATGCAAAATTCTTCGCAGCTACAACATCTTCCGACCATATGGATACTATATTTATTATGTTATCACATGGAAGATCAAATTGAAGATCTTTCACTGATTGAAATGTATCAATAGTTATGGATAATTCAGAACGATAATTCTTCATGAGCCATACAAATTTCTCATTCACTTGTTTTTGCACCCATATTTTATATAAAGGAAAGTGGTCTGTTATTATTAAACAATTAATAACTGCATACAAGTCCGAATCTTCTAAGATTATCATTACATTCTTTGTATAAGGTTCGTCTATATATACATTTTATATAAAAAATTTTAATTATAAAGACAAAAACATATTTTTATAAATAACACACAATGGGCATTTTCCAGCAAGAGACAGATGACACAGTGAGTAGATCTAGTGAATCATTTCATCTTTGTTTATCATTGAACAATAAGGATGAAACAATTTTCTATGTTATTATTACATCAATTGTCTTTATTGGAAAACGTCCAATATGAATAAACGTTTCTTTGTACCGTGTGTTGTAATAGAATATGCGTTGTCATAATACGTGTCTATATTCTGTGCTACATCTCTAAAAAATATAGAAAAAGATATTAGAAAAATATAAAATATTAATTTTAATATTAAAATTGTTCGATAAATAAGTATGAGAATAATTATACATTAGTAAAGAAAATTTTTTTATATATAGTTACTTGAGACAATCTGAAAAAAATGAATACATCACAGATCCTGTACATATCGTGACGAGTGTAATCATTAAATAAGTGGGTAATTCACTAAAACTATAATCTACAAAAACAATAAAAGTACATAGAAGTTATAAAACTTTCATAAATAATCAAATTAATATGTTCATTATTATGCTATCTATTATTCTTACTTATCAGAAAAAAAAAACTAAAAATACAATTGCAATCGCTCGTTAAGGAATTGCTAAATGTTTCAGAATCATTTGAAGAGGGCTTAATAAGAAGCCGAAATATGTATTATCTGTACAAATGTTCATTTAAATTTTAATTAAATCTTATTGTACTTTATCAATGTAACATCATTAATGTAACTTCTGATATCAATATTTTTTGACTCTTATATGTCCTTTATAATATTTGTTTAAATTGTAAAAATATAAATAACATAAATAATGATATTTTTCAATTTTGCAAATGCAAGAATAATATTATTGTAGGTACCTGTATCTATTAGTGCTTCATTAGGGATTAACACAGAATACTTAGTTAAATAGTCTAAAATAGTAGTAATCACATCTATGTGTTTAAAAATAGATGAAAAAAACGACATATTCTGATATATTATTTCTGCTAATATCTGCAATCTGTGCAAAAATTAGAATATTAAAACTATCAAAGATAAAAACAACTTCTATGTCTCTTATTCCATTTTAAAATTCTATCTTTATTTACCTCTTTGACAGATTATCGTTAGATTTAAATTTACACTTTTGTATCATATCAAATATACCATTTAGCTTCTTCAGTACTTCCTAAAAAAATATGCACATAAAGTAGTATTATATGTTACATACAAAAAATGGAGATTCTTTTAGCAATAATATTAAATCTCATAAATATTATCAACAATTATTATACACTGTACATATCAATATTCACTTTTTCTTTTTTATCATAATCTAGATTAGTATAATATTCATTTAAAATTTTCACTCGCTCCATGAATGCTAATCTAATTTTATAATATTTGGAAGAAAAAAGTAAAATTACAATCACTCGTTATTCTTTTATGAAACAACACAAATTTACAGGACGAAAAGGGGGGGGGGTTGGAAATTCTAGAAAATATAATATTCAAACTTAAGAAGTAGGGAGCAAATCACATATTGTTTATAGTCATATGTGACATTCGCAGCATGAAAACATCCACGTTTAAACGACATCTCAGTATATAATAAGTAAGGGACACTTTTCAGCAACAAATGTTACAACGTTCCTAAAATATTGCTGAAATGTCCTAAAATATTTCTTGCTTGGGGAAATTTTTTCAATAAAATTCCTCGAAAAATAATTCACCTCCTTTTATCATTATGTTTTCTCTCTCAAATTTTTGCCATTCGTAAAATAAAACATTCGTTAAGAAATAAATCTCGATTTTTTAATCACATCTAAAAATCATTACCGACCTTAATAAAAAAATTTTTCACAATATTTTGTTATCTCATATATTGGGTCATCTAAAAAATATCCGCAGTACTTTGTCACTAGATATATGACCATCAACACACATCTAGTGACAAAAAACCGCGGATACTTTTTAGATGACTTAATATTTTTAGAAATTCGTTATATTTTAAATATATGAGCAATTTTAAAAAAGTATATATTGTTAAACTCTTTAGATTTCATAAGTTTATTTAAAAATTATAATACGAGAAATTTCAGAATATTTCAGAGTTCACAAATTATGTATAGAATTCTAGAAAAGATAACATGATATACAATATAATTTTCCTCAGTATAAATCTTCTATTTCGATTAATATAAAAAATCTGAGAAATTTTCTAAGAAAATATAAAATTATACAAAAATTTTGAAAAATCCTGAAATTTAAATAAAATTTCTAAAAAATTATATAATTTAAAAAAATTTTACTAGAGAAAAACTACATGAACATGTTCGAACGACGTGGTTTGAAACACGGAAGTAATTAAAGATCGGACGATGTGTTATTGACCAAGTTAACAGAAAGAACGAACTCGATTGGATATATCATGTTGCTATTATCTTTTCAAAAATGAAGTAGAAATATTCGCAAACAGACAGATTGATAAAATTTACTTTTTCGATAAGTCTAGAATTGATAATTTATGAAAAAATCGGAGCAATGTATGACGCAAGGTATTGGAGAATATAAAAGATAGCTTTTTCAAAATCATCGAAGTTAAGTATCATAGAAGTTAAGAAGTAATAAAGAAAAATTCTTTGAGAAGAAATAATGAGAATTATCCCGGATTTACAATAGATTTTTAAGCCTTAAAGAATGGACGAATCACAATCACTTATTCTCCTCGTATTCGATTGTAGTTGATCAATTTCTTACAGTTTAAAACTTAAAACACTTATTGTAGATCCGGACTTATGCGTGGTCTACAAGGATAGTAGCAGTAGTGAAACTAATGGATTAAAGGTACTTTTTCATGCTAACACTCACTTTTAGCGTCAAAGCAGATCACGTGATAAAAATTAACCAATATTAAGCGTTAGTTTCGATCACGAATGACCTATTTTGACGCTAAAAATAAGCGAGTGTATAGCAATTGCACACGAGTCAATTACGTACAAACCAATCAAACGCTGAAAAAAAAAAAAATAATTCCCTAGGCAGACATCGCTGTGATTGGCAGTGAGCAATTGCTACGGTATGCAAATGAACTGTTCCCAAAATAAGCATCGAGGATCAACATGAAAAGGCATTTTTAGGAGTAGGCTTAGAAATCGAGCAATCATAGGCTGAGTTCAGCAGAACGTTTATTTTGCAACTGTTGAAGTTTTTTTCACGCTGATTGGATTATGTTTTTAGATCAAGAGGAATGGTCTAATCTTAGCGGAGAATCATAAAAAACAGTTGCAAAACTGTTATGTTCTTGCTGAACGCAGCCATAGATCATCTTCACGAATGTGTCATATGACTATTGTTTAGTCTACAATGGCAGTATCAATAATGGATGAGACTGTAATGATTCTACAATGAGTCGGTAATCAGAAGTTTTAGTCTTAATCGGTGAAGTTGGCCAATCAGCCTTAATCATATAAGTTGGCTATTGGTAAACTTCACTGATAAGACTTAGGCCGGGTTCACACCTTGACGGAAAAGCGGAAAACGAAAAAGCGGAAGCCAATCGGAATTTGTAGTAGTAGTAAGCGGCACATTTCGCTCGTCTGCTTCTGTCTTTCCGTAAGTTCTGATTGACTTCCGCTTTTCTGCTTTCCGTTTTTCCGTCAAGGTGTGAACTCGGCCTTAGGATTACCGATTACCGACTCATTGTAGAATCAGCGTAAAACGGGAAGCACAGATTCTTGCATAATGCACAACACGTAATGAGAAAATGTATCAATTAAAGTCCTTCGTTTTCTTCCTTTTCTTAAAATAAAGAATTCTGATTGAACTTCTTATGCCTTTTGTGTTATTCGTTATGCAAGAGTCTGTGCTCTCTACTTTATCCTCGAATTCCTCGAGGTCGATTTTGTATCTTCAAACAAGATGAAAATTACAAAAGTGAGTTAATTTAGATGTTGACCAATTAAATTATTAGTATTCTAGTAAATTCGCTCACTTTTGTAATTTTCACTTCGTTTCAAGATATAGAATCGATCCCTTCGTTCTGTTGATAATCTCGAAAATTTTCAGGACCGGCCGTCTTCGATAAATAGGGAGCATAGATGGGGAGATGGGAATTACAAAAAAATTTTATATGATGACATATACATTGGGTCATCTAAAAAGTATCCGCGGTTTTTTGTCACTAGATAGTGTTGATGGTCAACACATCTAGTGATAAAAAATCGCGGATACTTTTTAGATGATCCAATACTTTAAATAAATCTATTTGTTAAATTTGTTTTTTCGTGCTTTCCTCTATGTGATATTCTAAGTATCTCTAGAAAGGTACGGTCAATGCTATAAACACTTTTTTAATTGATCAGTTTGTAAAATTCTTTCTTTTAATTGGTCCATCAAATGCTTTGAAGCATTTGTAGCGAGACTTTGACCACAGCCGAAGTTACATATGTATGTCGCTTATTCAGTTTGCAAATAAAGAACCGACGAAAGATGTTATTTTGCCATATTACAAGTTTGATGAGACACTTTGATAATGAAAATTTTGTAATGAATGAAAATTAACAAATGAAAACTATTTTAGATTATTTAGATTAGATGAAGAACGCCTGTATGTCGGCATCGTGTTTATTGTCCTACTCCAAACACAGTATGTACATATGTAGTATCAAACGTGCGATGGAGATGCGAATGTTTTTACACGTTACCTCATAATTGCTAGTCATAAATCTTCTTTGTGAGAGTATGTTGAATGTTACATTTCTAACACGTGTAATAAAAATACACTTGCACTTATATGCAACATTCAAGAGAAATGATAAATCACGTGAGCTAACCTTTTCGTACTGTGCACATCACATTCGAAAGAGACAGTTGCATTCATCTCCAGCCAGTGGTCTCTGGAATGTGTTGTTTTTCGGAACGACTAATTTTTCTCTGGAAAGCTTACGAAGCTTGTATAACGAATAGTTAGTATCAGCTTTATCGATAGTTTATTTGTAAATTTTATTTAATAGTAAATTAAATATAAATAATAGAAGAAATATGAAAATGTGAAGTATACTTATAAAATTGTTTTTTTGTAATTTACAGCAGAGCCAAGAAACTTTGTCGATTAGAAGTCGTATCGGTGTGTAAAGGGAAAAAGAATGTTGTTGTACAGTATGCAGAGGAAAAGGGAATCATTGTTAATGAATGGCCCCTTAAAAACAATCCACAGGATTTTCATATCGGGATAGTTGTTGCCTTTGGCCATCTGATACCATTAAATATTATAAATTCTTTTCCACTGTAAGTCACTTTATTTATCCACATGTGTCCAGTCTATAAATTGTTATAATATGGTATTAATATATCTATTTTTTGTCACAGTGGTATGTTAAATGTTCATAATAGTCTATTGCCACGATGGAGAGGAGCAGCTCCAGACATTTATACCTTAATGAAAGGAGACACACAGACGGGAATTACAATTATGAGAATAGCAGAAAAGTAAAGTCTTTTAAAAATTTGGTTCTAATATTGTTTTTGAAAAATCAGCACATAGTTTGAAGCGCCTTTTCTCTTGTTTGTATTTTCTTTTTATTGTTTTCAGTGATAGGAGATCTTAATCATATTTTGTTTAAATTAATATATATGAGATTTTACTTTTCTCCACAAAAGATTTTATAGGTATTATTTCATTGTTTTTCTAATTTTTTAATTGATAAAGAAACGTAAAGAGTCATTTGAATTCAAGTTTTATTGGTAGAAGAATGAATATTACAATCTTAATATTATTTCGATTGCACCATTTAGATCGATAGACGGTTTTTTATTACTTCTATGTTGCTGCAGGTTTGACACTGGAGACATAGTAACACAGGAAAAGATAGATATTCATGCAGATGAAACTCGACCAGAATTAAATATGAAGTTAGCAAAGCTGGGTGCGAATGTTCTGATTGATGTGATAGGAAAATTGCCACAGGTATTATCTTCTTCGAGGCCTCAGGAAAAATTAGGTGTAACGTATGGTAATTTGTCTTTGCTGCTGTACTAAGCGACAAAATACATTAATGTTTTAACTATTTAAATTAGTTCTTGATGATTACACTTTGTAGCACCTAAAGTTGCATCAAGGACCTCTTTAGTGAAATGGGATGAGATGACGGCGAAGAACGTTTATGATCTGCAGCGTGCTCTTCTAGGATTGTACCCATTAAAAACCAAGTTTGAAGACGTGACTATAAAATTGTTGGATGTCCGGCAGACGTCGAAACCGGAAGATGGAAGAAATGTGGATATACCAGGTAATTAATCATTATTCCTGCATGATTCGCTGTGATACTAAGTAAGTACCAAGGATTGGAAACAGTTTATTCCTAGGAAGAAAATGAATTATCTGAAAATATAATTATTGTATATTTGGAGATGAGATGTGCATGATTAATGTGGTGAGCCTCTTCCAGGTTTCGCAAGATTTGATCGGAAAAGTAATGCGTTAGTTGTGACATGTAAAGGACCAAGTTGGATCTCAACAACGAAAGTAATTGTGAAAGGTCATTCAGTTATGAGTGCATTGCAGTTTAGAAATGGATTTATACGGGGCAGAAAGAAAGATTGGATATTATTTCAGAGTAATGTTACATAATCTATAGCGCTGCTTCTGACATCAATGCTATTCTTTTGTAAATGTATATGACAATTTCATTGAGAAACAGATAATGAATATTAAATTTTTATTTACTACAATAGTAAAATTTAATTTAGAATGTACAAAATGTAATATTAACGCAGTGACTACTGTGAGAATAATAAATTATTTATCATATATGTCAATGTTTCTTTAAATACTGAATACGATGAATTGCTTTTTGCTCATTTCTGATTTTGCATGTAAAATAATATCAAAGTTTTTGTCTCATGCGAAAATATTGTTTTGTATATTCCTTTTATTTCTCTCTTTATAATAATTTATTTAATATCTTTTATCGTAGAATTCCTATATAAAACTACAAAGCATTACGAAAAAAAATCAGTAAAAGAAATAACGAGAAATAAGTAGCGTGAACTATAGCTAAATTTCAAATAAATCAGTTTTAAGTGGAATTGCAGTAGATTTTCGTAGAATTCATTTTTCTTCAAATTACAGCAAAGTTTCTCTCTTCTATGTGTTCTCGTGTCTTACAAACAGGGACTCGGACCGAAATTACATTATGGATTAAAATTTCGGCTGGTTACTTTGGCTGATAATTATGGAGAATATTTAACTTTTAGTTTCGGTGTCGATTTCAGTTCTTTTGAATTTTCAGTGGTAACTATGACCATCATGTTATATAATTATCGAAAATAGAAACTGAAAAGGACCGAAATTCAACGGACTCGGTAACTGTTACGGTAAAAGAAACCAAAAGTTGAATTTAGCCTCGGACCGTTATTCGGATCAAATTTTTCGATCAGAGTCCCTGCTTACAAAAAAAAAAAAAAACAGAATAACACTGAATGCCTTATTTATATAAACGTAGAATTGGAGCTGCAGATAGAAAATTGTTGATATTAAGTCTCAGTTTCAGAGGCCTGAAATGAAAGAAATATTTTTACTATAAAAGTCTTTCTTTTATTATGTTTAATGTGCCAATGATATGTCCACATTGACAATAAGCGGAAGACACAAAATGGAGTTCAGAATGCTTCAAGATATCATTCTATTTTGCTGTACATCAAAAAAATAAAAATAAATATTATATAATAATTTAATTTACATTGGATAAAAAATTTTCTGTTCCTATTCGCCTGTAATATTAATTTTTAAATTTTCGTAAGACGATATATCTATCTTTTCTATTTGATTCACCTCGAGAAACCAGCTCAAATCAATTTATTCACGTATAGATTAAAGTACTTTATATTTTGTCATAACTTTAGTTTATTGTCTCTATTATCAATAATGTGCAATTCGTTTTCTCTTAATTAAATGTTGAATAGAAAAAGAGAAATTATTATCTATATTATAACTACATTATAAAAAATAGTTTCTTTTACGTACATTGTAATGCTATTTAAAAACTTCTATAAATGTATTATATATAAAGACAAAATAGAAAGTACATTAATCTAATATTAAAAAATATTGGTGTCTATGGACAGTGTAAAAATTTATGAACTTACACTAGGATCGCAGTCGGCACAGTGCCACGAATATCCTCTCCTTTTTGGAGACTTTTTCACAGGAGGATCTAAGCACGTAAAGTGATAGCATTTCTTACATTCGTCACACCTGCAAGAATTAAATACATGACATAAAAAAATCGTTATAATATTTCTCAATTTTAGCGTCTATAATTTTAAGATTCCAATTATCATTTGTTATAATACTAACATAACGAGATTTTGGTTGGTGCCGGGAGTATCACAGACGTTACATTGTGTCATAAGGTCCGTATCTTTCCCTCTCTTCGTTCCTGTTGACAGTCGACCACTGCTATTCACAGATACATTTACTGGAGGTACATTTGCAGCCGGAGGTGGCACAGGTGGTGGTGGCAATGTAATTTCAGTACTCGAAGTGGCCACAAACATTTGCGGGCTCGATTCCGAGTCTGTGTGTCCTTCCGGTCGACGAATTGGTTTTATCTATATTTAATTAATTAACATTATTAATATTCAAATCAACGTAGTAATAAAATAAAGTGGAAAAATAACAGATACTTTTATTGTAATCCTTCTATGAATCTCTGGTTGGCTTTGAATTTCTGGATTTTCTATATCTAAACTTTTTCTTTTATGCTTTCTTTTTCTCTGTTTGATTCCAGTTATCGGATCTGGAGAATATCTTTTATGCTTCTCCCTAAGAAATATTAAGTATTTATATGTACAGGGTCCGGCAAAATGATCTCCCACATTTTAATCTTTAATAAAAACGCCATTGTAAATGCTATTTAGATTTTATTTTTATTAACTGAAAATTTATGCTATGCCATTTGTTTTTATTGAGTTTTGAAAATTACAGAGTCAAGTGGCGACCATTTTTTTCGATACACATTCGAAGCTGATTTCTAAAAGTTTCCATCACTCGAGCAATAATTTGAGGCGATATTCCTGTAATTTCTTGGCGTATTGCTGCTTTCAATTCGTCAATGGTTCGGGGGTGGTGTTGAAAAATCTTCGCTTTCAGGTAGTCCCAAAGGAAAAAGTCGCATGGGGCAAGATCGGGTGAACGCGCAGGCCATTCGGATGTGTGGTTTCAACAGGATGGAGCTACAGATGGAGCACGGCTCATACGGCAAAAAGGACAATGGACGTTTTAAGGGAAATGTTTCCAGGACGCGTAATCTCGTTACGTGGAGACGTTGGCCTGCGCCTTCACCCGATCTTGCCCCATGCGACTTTTTCCTTTGGGACTACCTGAAAGCGAAGATTTTTCAACACCACCCCCGAACCATTGACGAATTGAAAGCAGCAATACGCCAAGAAATTACAGGAATATCGCCTTTTATTGCTGCAAATTATTGCTCGAGTGATGGAAATTTTTAGAAATCAGCTTCGAATGTGTATCGAAAAAAATGGTCGCCACTTGGACTCTGTAATTTTCAAAACTCAATTTTCAAATTTTCAAAAACAAATGGCATAGCATAAATTTTCAGTTAATAAAAATAAAATCTAAATAGCATTTACAATGGCGTTTTTATTAAAGATTAAAATGTGGGAGATCATTTTGCCGGACCCTGTATATTAAATAATTTAATATTATTATATTATTTGCACAAATATGATGAACATATAAATTATTTCACTTCCGTTCCATCCGCTGAAGCTACCATGTATTCTGGTGAACCTTCTCTTATGGTGATATTATTAACAGATTGTTGATTGTATATCGACTCAGATACTTGGGTAGGTTCTACAGTTAACGGTTGCGGTCCCACTGGTTTAATAGTTAGCTGTAAAATTTTTTATACCTATATTTTATATCTATACTAACTCCAGAGTTAAATCTTCATTTATTCATAAAATAAGTATAATATCATATTATCAAAATAAATACCTTTGGTGTTGTATGTGTGTCAGGAGTAGTAATGTTTGTTACATTACTGACAGAATTTTTTGATGTGGTAGGCGTGTTTGGTGTCATGGCTGCTTGCACTTCCTGTGGTGGTGTAGGCGTCGAGTTAGCCTCATCCTTACAATGTCTTAATTTACGTGGTGCCGATGTATCCACACGTTCCACTTCTGATCCCGAGGATTCTTTATCGCATTCAGAACATTGCCTGCAAATTACAACATTAAAAAGTTTAACGAAACAATTGGAATGTCAAACATTTATGTTTTCATACATACCATCCCATTTGTCTCGTTTTCTTAGGCATTCGTACCAAGGGAGGGCTTAAACAAGATAGATGATAATGCAAATGGCACGTGTCGCATTTAGCGAGAAGATGTTGATTAGTCGAACGTCTACAAATGCCGCATTGATGTCGTAAGGTCGTCAGCTCACTTTTGTGATTTTGTTCTTGCGCTTGGCTGCTCAACACTCTACCCTCACGTATACCTTCAGCACCTTTACCCACAGGGAGTGGAAATCCAACACCCATCTTCAAGGCAGCTGCTGTAGGCACACCTAAGCCTGTACCTGTAAAAAGCTCTTCGTGTATTGACTGCGTTTAAAGATTTAAACTCCATAACTCACCAAGAGTGGGTGCTATTCTTGGCTTTACAAGATCGGCGATCGATGGCAGAGGTTTCACGAAACCGGCGCTTTTAAGTACTTGATGATACAATTCTATCTTTTCTTTCAATGTCACGTTCACTCTAATCTGTTCCTCATTATCCTTCATCACTTCGTCGTATTTTCTATCAAGTCTCTGTTGTTCGTTTAATAACTGTGAATTAATGTCAAGAAGTTCTTGCAATCGTCTTTTCATCGATGTTACGCGCAAGTTGCGATCCAAATAATAACCAATAAATTCTACACTGAAAGCGGGAGCAATATGCCATTTTTTTCTAACATCTACTAATGCCACCAGTTGAGACTCTTGTGCTTCCAGGGCAGCCGTGTCAACACCCATTAATTCGGCCTTTCGTGCCAATTGACGGCAAGCGGAAGCAGATGTAGTTAATAAACGTGGCATCTTTTGCGTAGGTACTATAATTAATACCTACTTAGAAATGTATTTAAGAATATATATTTGTTAGAAAATATTAAAATTTACCCCATGGTGGCGGACGCGATGCTTTATGAGCTAAATACTTGTGTCTGTGCTTGGCCAATTTTCTTTGAATTCTACGTTGTTCGTCCGAATCTAAATGATTAGGTTGCTTCAAAATCTGTTGCCGATACTGTGCACGCATTTGTAAAGCTAGCCAATTACGTCTACGTCTACGAACGAGGGATTTATCAGAATGCAATTTGCAATGTGCATAAAATGGATCAGCTTGATCGACTTCTTCACTGTGTGCTTCGGATAGTAGACCATCTCTTTGTGCACTATAAAAATAATGTTTCGTATTTTATATTTGTAGTACACACAAATTGTGACAAATAATAATCTTCAGATTGTTATTGTTAATTAACAGTATTACCAGGTTACGTGAAAATATGTGTGACACATTCCGGCATCACATTCAATGCACACACCGGTGCGTGCGTAACACGAGTCTTCACATAAAGAACATGTTTTTGCACCCCATTTGCTATATGCCATTTCAAATAGCGTCACACTTGACAAACGATCGACCTAAGATATACACATATTTAAATTAGTATTTAAAAATTATAAATACAAAAAATCACACAGTACAAGATTTACTTACTTCACCAAAAGCGACACCAGGCACGTATAGAGCACACACTAAATGAACCCATTTTCCGACATCTGTTTCTTTAAAAATTCCACCCTTATTAGGACAAAGTTCACATGATGGATCTTCGATTCCTGCACTACAGGCTTCGCAGAACCATGGTGCCGATTGGCATAAAGAGTCAGTGCTTGAAAAACTTTCTACGTCAGATACACCGTAACAGCCTAAAATTTGATTTTTGTTCGTAAGACGTAAATAAAAATTAAAAAAAAAAAGGTGTTTACGTTTTCAATTAATGTACCTTCATGAACACTGACTCCACAACCATCACATTCTACAATTTCGTTTATGTCATCACTCCTGTCTCCTAAGCAACCACAACAAATTAGTACTTTATTTAGTTTATCATCAAGAGGCGCACCCTTTAGAGCTTGTTGACGAGCTTGCTCAATCACATCCCCCACAGTTAAGCCAGTACCATCTTTTCCTCTCAATAATGGATCTTCTAATGAATCATCAGATTCTTCAGATGCATCTTCTTCTTCTTCTATAAAAACATATATTAAACAACTATTATTTACTAGATTTACTTAATAAATTTCTTTATTTCTTATTATTTTTACAACAAAGCCTACTTCCACAATAATATTTTATAATAAGTATTTTATAATTTGCATTTGCAATTTGCTTTTTATTTTTTTCTTCCATGTCATCGACATATAAAAATACAAAATGACAAAAAAGTGTGGCTGCAAAGTTTTATGCATTTGGTTTTATTTTTATTAAATTATCAGTAAAATATATTTAAAAAAAACCAAAGAAAGAAACTCTAGAATGTTAGTTATATTTTAATAAATATCAGAAATAATAACATTCAAAATTTGACTACCTTTAGTTTTGATACAATTTTTAATGTGCTACAACAATAGTATTTTTCCACACATAATTCTTTTAGGCAGTCAATAAAGCAGGCTTCAACTCACCAACTGATGAAAATCTTTTAGTTCAGAAACTTGTTAATAAATAAGATGTAACTAACACTCCAATTTGTATTTTTTTTTTAAATCAGGCCTATCCAACACTTCTGCGAGTACGAAATATTTTATATACTACAGGATGGGAAAAAAAGATTTAACTGCAAAGCTTTATACATTTATCAAAACTGTGTTTAGAAATTTTACCTAGATGCACCCAGATATTATTTTATCCTTGTTGTTTACTGAATGTTAAACAAAGATAAAATGATCACTATATTGCACTGTCATATTATATGTATTACACTGTGTTTTTTACTGGAAAGCATCAAGTACCTAGTGATAAATAAATGATCCCTGACTGCATCTGGATAATTTCTGCAGCCCAAATCATTATCTAGATAGCAAGCTGATGACAAATAATATCATTTTGCTATGTAAATAGCAATATATATTTAAAACAAGTCTGTCCAATACTTCGCTTGTAAACTGAAATGCTTCCACCTCTCCGCTGTCTCAGTAGAGCGAGACAGAAATAAAACAAAGGATGCCAAGATTTTGCCTGAATTCAAGCCTGCCTAATATCAATAATACTAGCTTACCTTTTCCATCATTAGAATCTACAGAATCATCATCTGATTCTTCGCAATGATCCTCGATTCTAAAATCACTATCATCCGAGCTCTCACCAAGGTCAAAGTCAAGCAAAGACTGCTGTGCTGATTCAACCGGTTTTACCCTTCTCTTCTTGGGGTCTCTTTCAACTGCAAAGAGCAATAAGATTGATTTTTGCTAAATATCTAAATGTATTTCAAGAAAACGTTGATCGATATATATATTAGTCCAAAATTAATATGCATAAATATTTAATAATTAATAACGCAAAGAAAGCTATATTGATTTGATATTTTTATAAAAAAGAAATATATAATACAGACAGTTTTAGGTTATGTTTGCTTAATTTCTCTAAACATACATGTGCTGGTCATGATGATTTTGTAGTATCTCAGGAAAACTTTTATCAAAATCGGAGTAATCCTTCGCACAATCTATCTACACTCTTTTAAATCAAATATTCCAACGTATTAATGTAACTACATTTTTTGGAAAGTACCTCCGTCAAACACGCCACTCGCAAAACCACATACGGGTGATACGGGTACGCGCGCGCATTCTATTACCGATAATACGTTAGGTTAATTTTACGTGTCAGCAAATGAGGTTGCCATAATAATAAAGTACTTGATTATGGTTATTATTATGCATTCACAAAGGCCAAACCGGCTTGTTATTATCATAATGCTGACGTAGATTTAATAATGTATCGATTGCAATAATAACGGTAATGACAGAACTACGAATAAACATCCATATACGCGCGCGCGCGCGCGCAAGAGAGAGAGAGAGAAAGAGAGAATATCACCCACAGAGTACCCACACTAGTTTATAAATACAATGGAGATTAATAAATCTACTAGGACATGTAATCGTTTCAATGCATTAATCAAATTATACAACTAATATTGTTTACAATGTTTAATAACTTGAATAGTAAATTCACGATAGATTAGATCATAATAGTAACAAATCATGGAACGGACAAAATAGAGAAATAAATATTATATAAAAAAAAAAGAAACTTACTTAAATATTGAAAACAGTACTTAATACAGTATATAAAAGAGATCTGCTCAGCTAATTCAAATTATCCACAAATAATTGGATCTTATCTTCATTCATAAGAAGAAACAAATATAATATGAATACACTGTACTCATGTTTAATCATTGAAAACTATGTATTTATTTGATATAAGTGTTGAAATGATCTGCAAATTGTTCTTTTGGTTTATCCTAGATTATATCGTTTTCTATTTGATAAATCTTGATAGATAACTCGTAAAACAAAGCAATTTTCGCTTGATTTCGGTTTTCAAATCTGAAAGTAGCAAGAAGAACTCATGGGATTTCAGACACGCGGACTATTCTGTACTCCATCGATTCCAATGTCTCTCGCGGGCTGGCGCGACATGATTCCTAAGTACCGCATCTACGGAACATAATCACGGGAATTATTCGCGTACAATATTGGCGCAACTCACTCATTGTTTTGTACAGAAATCCAACGTCGTCGTCCTGTGACATTTCTTCGTCACGAACGCTGTACACCAGGAACGGAACGGCCTCCGGTTCCTCCTTGGAAAGTATTTATCCAGCGTTCAGTTTTCCTCGGATATTCACCGTCTCGAGAACAAGTCAAAGTTTGCAGAGATATCGAATGATACCAAAGAAGTGGAATTGTTGTCTCACCCGGCGTTAATCCTGATCACAACGGCGTCCATACATCCGACGACGCGGCGCCGACGCGCCATGTTGCACGAGTCCTTTCGCGGGAAGTTCAATCTTTTTCATGCTCAAGAAAAAAAACTTTTGCTAATAACGTTTGTTATTTTTGCATTGTATACTAAGAGGTCTGTATACTGTATTATTATAACATCCATAGTAAAAAGAGGAGTATTGAGAGGATAAGAAGTAGAAGGATTTAATCCACTTTACTGTATACTGATTATAAAATACTTCATACTGAGTATAAAATTTTTGTGCAGCCTTGAACTTTCATCCTTTCCGTTCTATGCGAGATTGATCTGTCTGCGAAAAAAAGATATTAGAATCGCAAATTCAACATGCATTTCTTAATCTATAAATATTCGTATTATCTACTGTAAGTCAACTACAAAATATACGTATTTATATATAGAGAAGAAAATGATGTGTATTAAGAGCATGTATTTTCATTTAATCGCTGGTTAATTTATGATTAGACTTAATCTAATGTAAAAAATTGTATTTTTCTAGCTGTGATTATATAATTACTGAATTGATGATTTTATGCTGATTCTATGAATCAATAGTCGATAGTCTTAAGTTTTATTGGTGAAGTTGATCAATAGCTAACTTGTACGACTAGCTGATTAGCCAATCACCGATTAATAAGACTTCCGACTATAGACTCATTAAAATCAGCATTATACTGTGATAACTTTAAAAGTTACTCGCTAAAATTATTAATTTAGTGATTAATTATAGTTAGAAAAAGACAGTTTTTAAATTATTATCAATGAATGAAGTTAATTATAGCTAGATAATGAAAAACCAGGCTTAAAAGTATAATGAATTTAAATTTATTGTAGGATTGCTTTCCGTGGAAATTTTTTATTGAAATTATTTATTGTTTATTCAATAAAATTCTCTCTTTATTTTACAGTGTAGAATAATTAATATAATTTTATAATATCTTAGTTATTATATATATAATATATATAATATATATTTTAATTATATATATCTCTACTATAATACATATCAACTATAAAACGCGTTTGTACACAGGGAAGAAAATAATGTTTTAATATCATCAGCATAATCAGTCAATAGCGATCGAATTGAAAATAATCTTGTTTGTTCAACAGTATTAATAAGTGAAACAAATAACATATTTTATTAAAACAAGAGAATACTACAATATTTGTTTCATTAATAATGTTATTGAAAATTAACAGGATTATTTTTAATTAAATTACTGTTGGCTAATGCTATTAATATCATTATTTTTTTTCCGTGTAAAACTTTAGAATTGTATTTTGATTTATATACGTAACAAAAAGTATTTTTATTTTTGAAATATATAGCCAGAAATATTTCTTATATTTCTAGCTATATACTTTATATATTATACATACATATGTTTATATATTATATACATTTAAACGTAATATCAATAAATACATTTTTTTATTATATAATCTTGAAGCTAATAATAAAGAATCATTTTCAGTATTACATCGTTATATTGGCGGCACTAATACACTGAATTTAGCTGAGCGTCTGAATTAGAATAAAAATAATACAGTGCCGAAGTGTCATTGAAGTTCAGCCGATTGCGATTAAAATCATGCAGAAATGCATAGGTATGTATTTCCCGTTATATATGAATACCTTCGATGTTAAATTATAAAAACACGTAGCGAGCAAATCTAAGGGATATCGCGATTTGACTCGTCAATATCGATTATACCTACTCGCAAGAAATTCAATTTCAGCAGGTAAGAATGCAGGCACAACATTTTGTTTTCTATTGATATATTTCTACATGAATATTTTCAAAATTCAATTAAATTATCTATAATTCAGTGCTACGTAACTTTTTATAAAAATTTTCAGAAATAACTATTTTTAGAAGTAGACAAAATCTTTGGGGACATAATATATATTTCGTTTACCTAAAAAGATAGAAAATATGATTTTATATTTAATTTCTTTCCCGTGTAGGTTATTTTTATTTTCTGCATCCCACACGTAAATAAAAAATTCTTAGAAACTTTGAGACGCAGATTGCGCATCACTGGTCTAAAAATTCAATTAAAAGATACATACATTGACATACAAGAATAAAACGTATTGCACATTATATTTAGTATTCGAGAACAATTAAAATTACATTATTTCGTTCAAAATATGTTTGCATCGAACCTGTTATTACAAATTAAACTCCAGAAATTAATTTTGAAATGTATAGCCAGAAATACATATTTAATAATATATTATATATTTAAATGTATCAAATAAATTTCTCATTAAGATGTATCTAATAAACGAACATGTTCATTAAAATGAATCTAATAAAGGAATATGTTCATTAAACAACATTTATCGATATATCTGTACCAGTACGTTGGCGGCACTGACACACTGAACTTAGCCGCGCGCTCAAATTTGAAGCAAATCGAAAGTAACCATTACCGCCACTGAAGCGCCATTCGAGTTCACGCCATGGTGTGTTATCTCTTCCACCATAATTCGTACCGTTCACGGTTTGTGGTGGCGAAATGGGCGGAAAAAGTTCCGTGATTAAAATTCTGCACAAGTGCACGCGCGTTTCTCGATTTCGCAATTAATTCGTTATTAAGGTAGAAACAAGGCGGAAAAGTCATCGCCAGGAATTGAAATCTGAAACGTGAAATCGTGAACGCCGATTTGATTCGCTAAATAAGTGGTATGTATAATATATATTAAAAACAACGCAGCATAAGTGATATGTACTTGATGAACATATATGTACTTTGTAGAATTTGAAAGAAAAATTTATTTCGGATTCTCTTATCTCTTTAAGAGCGGTAAATTACAATAATGATCATTGTTTCCAATTTTCAACAGAGAGTCGTAATTCGATTGAGACAAATCGGAAGTGATCTGATGTTGCCAAGGCATCATTTTGGTTCATCCAGTTTATAAAAGCAGGCATGAGCGTGAACATTTCCTGTTGGAAATTGCACGAAAGGGTAATTGCGTTTCTTCCGTTTCTTTATGGGGTTCATGATGATAGAAGCGAGCGGAAAAGTCATCGTCGGGAATTACGATCTAGCTCGTGAACGTCAATTCGAGTCGCTAAATGAGCAGGTATAATATATATTCTCCTACACACGTAGATATTCGTTGACGCACGAAATTATGAAGAATATTCTTAAGTTTTTTACAGCACAATAAACTGTACTCTTTCCTCTTTCTTATGTAATTTTTTCGTAATTTTTTTGTACTATTATAATATTTAAAATGAAAATTTTTTCAATATGGTGCGATTTTGGCAACAAAGAAATTTTGTTGCTACTTTCCTAAATCACACCATACCAATATTCCTCATTTAAAACATTATGATAATGCAAAAAATTAAAAAATTACATAAGGGAAGGAAAAAATTGTATTTTATTATGCTGTTAAAAACTTAAAAATATTAGGTGCGCAACTAAGTTCTCGCTATTATTTTGATGCATTTTCATCAAAATAATAGCGAGAACTTAGTTGCGCACTTAATATATTTTTCATAATTTCTGAAACACATGATAATTTCAAGAAGTAATTTAAGGAGTTTCTACATAAAACAAAATAAACATTTCGTAGATTTACAATACATTTACATTTTTACATAATAATGAATGGCATAAAAATGGAAAAATATTAGATAACGAATGCGATTTAAGAAGTTAGATTGTGGTGCGATTTAAGAAAGTAGAATATTTAAACTTTTATTTATTCTATCTATATAAAAAAATGTAAAGCAAACTTTAATCCTATTAATTTAATTATAATAATATTCTAATCATGACAAATGGTCAAAATTTAAGCTAC